CGATGGGGGAGGGAGCCTGGCGCAGGGTGGGAGCAGGCGCAGACGCTGGGCGCGATGGCAGAGGGTGGGAGCAGGCAGCTGGCCAGCAGCGAGGGCAGGGCGGGAGGGAACGGTTGGAGGAGAGAAATGAGCAGGGGAAGGAGAGGGTCATCGGAGGAACGGAAGGGCCAGCAGAGGAATGATGGAGAAGGCTGCAAAAGGGGATGAGGAGGACAAAATCGACTGCATCAGCAAAACAGTGTCAACAGGCTTGCTGACAGTCGGTGCAAAAAATATCTTTATCTCTGTTAATCTGGAGAGCGAGCAGTCGCCACTGGTCTCTCAGCTGTCCTGCTGTAACGAAACAGCGGGGACATTTTTTTCTGAACGCCTGGTTTCAGCCCTCCTTCCGCCATCCTGACGACAGCAATGAGTGTCTCATTGCACTGAGTCTGGGACACAGCTGCACTGCACACAGAAACAAGATTTAAAAGCCAGGGTACAGCAAAAAATTAACAGCATAGCACTTGCTTCAGCAAAGGCCAAACGTGTTAATCCGTCGTTTGTGCATTGCTACCCTCTGTAGATCACTTGTTTTAAATCGTGGGTGGTTTTATGCATATCAGCTTTTATTGCCACAGCAGTTCCGAGGCTCTGGACATGCAGCTTCCATTCATTGCAATGGGATTTGGAAAATCTCAACAGTGGCTTCTACTGTACAAGCACACACACTGCGTCCTTCTTCTTACATTGCCAGGAGGCCTAAATGAATTTGAATGGCTTTGGTGTACCACAGTCTTTGTCACGCCTTTGAAATTCCTCATGTTTGTATTCCTGATGGAGGAAAAAAAATCTGGCAAAATCTATTCAGTTGTTATTTTTTAGTATTATGATATTTTCATACGAATATCTGAGTACCAACCAAGAGTGGGGCCCTGCAGGGCAAAGAGCAGTTTCAGCATGGAGAGCTTCTCTCTGCCAAGGCGGGACAGACCAGATGGCAGGGGCGAGAACTGTGCCCCGGAGCAGAGGTAACAGGATAGCCATCTACAAGCATCCTGTTAGTTCCAATTATTTTTTAATTTTTAAGTGGATATTCCCATTGGTCCTCAAGGGGAAACAAGTCTCCAACATGAGATAATTATCTCTGGATAAATCTGGGAAAGGAGGCAGACAAAGACACCTGGACAGAACAAATGTTTGATTACATACAGCCTCTCAAAACCCCTTTAAACTGATGTGATTCAACCAGACAACGAAGAGCAGTCGGAAGCGACTGTTCCCATGGGGGAGGGCAGAGAAGAGCGGATAAACCAGCCCAAGCCAGCCATCGCAACGAACCGCTCCCCCTCTGCTTCCCTCACCTCCTCCTCCTCTCCCCTGCGGCAGCGGCACCTCGCACCACGGCCGAGGTGCTCCGGAGCCCGGCGCTGCTCTCCGCGGTGCGTCGTTAACGCCACGTTCCGACACGCCACCCTCAGCCAGAAAGATGCTGCCGTTGGGTATTTCTTTCGCGTCCCATCGGACGCTGGCGGGACTGGTTCCGAACCATCTCAGTGTCCGTGTGCCGAGAAGCGCTTTGACACCACGGCTGGCAGATTTACCGTCCCTCTCCCTCTGGTTTTGGCCCTGACTGATGGGGCTGTGTCAGATTCACGTCAAGCTCCTGCATCCTCCTGTATCAGCTGATCAAATGAAAGGTTTTGTTTCTCCCTTAACCCTTATTCCCGTAGAAGATCTTAACCGCTACCGCTGCTCACTCTGTTTTACGCTCCCTGGATGTTGTGTACTCTGCCATCAGTCGGTGTATAAATAGCAATCCCCAGCCTTCAGGCCTTGTTTCATTCTCCCATACTGAATTCACATCGTCGACGCGCACACATCAGCCCAGACAAGAGGAAGCTGAGGTTTTGCCGTGGCATTGCTCTGCTTTCGCTTGCAGGAAGATCCAGAGGAGGCATTCCT